AATTGGGTCATTTATATATTTACCTCAAATTCTCACTAGAATTTTTTAAGCGAGGCATTTTGCCATTACAGTTGAACAGAATGACACAGAGACTGTTGTTTGGCAAGCCCAGGAGGATATGAACTCCTGCCTCTGTTGGCATCCCCAGACCTTTCTGCCCTCCTCTCCTCATGACTATGTACCAATCTACCCATCAACAGTCCTCCAAAAGACTCAGGTACCTCAGGAGTCATTTCTCCTTTGTAAATCCCTCCATTCTTGAACATTACTGTCTTTGGGAACAGAATTCACTGTTACCCATTGTTCCTTATAGCACTGTCAGGAGAGAGGTCGAAGTGATTATGTTCATACTGACAGGACAAAGAGAAAATCAACTGGGATAAATGACAGGGATGCAAAGAGCAATATACAGACATTTTCATCATCCTACAGCATTCTTTTTTCCCCCAGTGTTCTCTTGAATGTATTTTATCCTGTGGATGTTTCGACATCCACCTGCCTAGATCTATTTCTCAAAATGTGGTCCAACAACAAGTGGTCCTGTGATCAGAGTTTTATTAGTATTTTTGGGTAGATTTACAATGTTTATTAGCACATTACGCATCTGAACACATTTTCAAACTTGCTCGAAAGGTGCATCATTGAACGGTACATTTAAATGCCAACAGTGTGACCACAGTCAGGTGCACTGGGGTCCACCCAAGTGCTGGGCATCTTCTTGGAAAGACTGCCAGTGCTAGAGCTTTCTAGGATGAAACTGTAGCCAGAAGCTGGGAGGCTGGGTTAAGGAAGATAACAACCTATCTTCCAGATGTGCCCTGGTCAGCTACCTTAGCAGCTGCCTTAGAAGGCTAAAATATCGTAGGCCAGCAGAGGCAAACATTTTAGAACTTTCAGTGATATAAACAGCCTAATGTGGCATGTGTGTCATAGGTTTCTCACTACTGTCCTCAGCCACAGTATGAACATATGTATATATACATGATTATGTAGATACACATTTTTTTTTTTTGTGTGTGTGTATTTAGTACAGGGTCTGCAGGGTCTTACTACACAGATTGGACTCCTAGTAATCTTCCCTTTTTCAACTTCCCAAGCACTGAGAGGAGTACACCACCATACCTCGTCTCAATCTCTATTTCAGCATGCCCAGGGGCAGGGCTAGCGTGGCATGCTGGGGATTGAACCCCCACCCCCTATGTCGGCCTAAGTAGGCATTTTAATCCCACTCTTCACCTGGCCCAAATTTGCTATTTTTAAAATGATAAAATTAAAAATGATAACTTGGGGCTTTGCAAAACATCTGATCAACTCAAACTGAAGAGTAAAGTCACTTTACTCAAGTTAGTTCCATTTAGAAACCCAAAATACATTCTGTTAAATACTTAAATTACATTTGTAAATTGGTATATTTAGTTTTTACCAATCAACTGTGTTTTTTATTGAAGTAAAATACACTACACAAATGTGTCATCTTAGCCAATGTTAAGCATATAGTTCAGTGAAGTTAAATGTCACCATGTTAGCATTGAACACCACCAGCTATCTCTATAACTCTGTCTTGTAAAATTAAAATTCTCTGCTTAGCCCTCCTCAACCCCAGCAACCATCATTCTACTAATCTCTCGTCATTTTGACTATTCTAGGTACATCATATAAGTAGAACCATATAATACTCATATTTTGTGACTGATTTCATGTATCATAATGTCTTCAAGGATCATCCATGTTGTATCATAATTCATAATTTTCCTTCCTGTTGAAGGCTGAGTGATATGCCCTGGTATACTACATTTGGTTTACTGATTGATGAACATTCATGTTGCTTCAGGTTTTAGCTTTTGTGAATAATGGCAGTATGAACATTAATATAGAAATATCTCTTTGATACCTTAGTTCACTTCTTTTAGGCACATATCCAGAGGTGGAATTATTGGATCATACAATAACTATATGTTTTTTGAGGACTCACTATACTGTTTTCCACAGGGGTTGAGTTATTTTGCCTTCCTGCCAATCATACACCAGGATTCCAATTTCTCTTATTACCATCAACATCTATTATTTTATAGCCTTCCCAATGGGTATGAGTTGGTATCTCATTATAGTTTTGATTTGCATTTCTCTAATGATTAGTGATGTGGAGCATCTTCTCATGTGCATATTTACCATTTGCATATTGTCTTTCAAGAAATAGTTTCTCAAGTTCTTTGCCCATTTTTGAATTGGGTTGTTATTTGGGTTTTTTGTTATTGTTTTGAATTTTAGGAGTTTTCTATGTACTCTACTTATAAATCCCTTATTAGAATTCTGATCTGTAAATATTTGCTCCCATCTTCTGGCTTGTCCTGTACACTGTTAACAGTGTCTTTTGACACAAAAATTTTTACATTTTTAATTAAGCTCAAATTTATCTTTTTTCTTTTGATGTAATACCATATCTTTCATATATTTAATTTTTTAAAAGCAGTTAATGTGTCAGAGTGGGATGGCTTCAACCTAGTTTTTTTTTCGGTACTGGGGATTGAACTCAGGACCCTGCGCTTGTAAGGCAAGCACTTATTCTACTGAGTTATCTCCCTGGGCCAACCTAGATCTTTCCATGGACATAAAAGCCTTGGTTTATCATCAAATATACACTAGGCTTTGAAGCCACCAAAGCCACAATAAAGACTAAACTAAGAACAATGAGCCACAGTGAATAGAGCAGCATATTTTTTACCCTCATGAGTTTACATTTTTATAACTTAAATTAATTTAGCTGTTTTAATTCTAACAAACTAACCTTTTGAATGAATTGCATTTCAAAGTAAAAAATCCTTATCTTTCAAGATTATAAGTCTAAGATCAGTTATATAATTAAATTAGAATTATAAAGCAAATCTAATTAGTGGTACTAATCTGTCTGATGTGTAAATACCAAGCATACAAATTGTTCATAAACCTGACTAAAGAACATTATTGCTAAAAAATCAACTTGCTTTATCATTTCCTTATTCAATCCTAAATTTTCCCAATATTAAACACTGGGGTCACAAAACTGAGTGTGCTGGATAGGCAGTCCAAGTCCCAGATACATGACTGGCTCAGGTAGGCCGAGTATTGAACTGGGACTAGGGACCTGTGGGTCCAGACATATGACCAAAGGCCATTCTCCCATGACACAGGTGGATGCCCTGTGTTTGACTTTAGCAGCGGCTCGGCATTTCCATTCTCTTCTCATGAGATTGGTCCCAAAGTGTGCTGTTAGATTGGTGCCTTTCCTTTATAACCATTCAACATCATTACCTGGTTTGGATGAATAAATGACTGACCAACTTTACTCTACAGCCTGATCCCAGTCAGCTGACCCAGCCAAAGTTAGGCTGAGGCTTTTGTCGGCTGTTTGGCCCTGGCCACTGCATGTCTTCTTCTTCCTATTGTGATGTCTGCTTCCAAGGCTGGCTGGCTGGAACTATAACTTTTCTCCGACATCTGACCCAGCCTCATGTTTTCAAGTGAACAGTTAACTATTTTCTTTTTAAGTCAAGTGTGATGCTAACATTCCTTGCCAATACTTTGCATTTCTCTTGAAATGGAATATAAAGCCTTCCACCTGGCCTGGAAGTCCTTGCATGATCTGGCTCTCCCCTCCCTCCATGACCTCATCATACACCTCTCTTACTGTGTGTCACTTCCAGCCACACTGGACGTTTTCATTTGTTCCTGCAGAAGTGGAGGCTTTTTCCTACTCCAGAGCCTTTGCACAGGCCATTCTCCTGTTCCAACATGCCATTTCCCTCCACTCTTTGCTTGGATAACTCCCCAAGCTGTAAGTCCCAGCTGAACTGTCATTTCCCATATGAGTTAAATTTCCTTCATAGAAATTAGCACAATTTGTGTGTGTATTTGCACACTGCAGTTCACTTCTACTAGACCATTCATTGTATGGGCTCCTGTGTGGTGCTCTGTTCGCGCAGCACAAAACAGTGCTGGTATATACTGGACAGTCAATAATTATTTACTGTGTGAAAGAGTATGGCAGTTGTCACGGCTGTCACCATTAGCCTTAAATCGTAACTGTTACAACCATTCATGTAACCACTTTTGGCTCCTGAGAGGTACTGAGTAATTGTTGAACTGAGATAGCCAAATGTCAGTATATCCCGCGTTCATTAATATAATTATTTGGTTATATTATGGTTCTTAGCTTGTAAAGCTGAATTCTTTCTGTTCTTAGCAGTTGGCTTAAAGAGCACAATTTAGTAGAGTGTGCTGTTTGGGTTACAAGCCCAACTTTAAAAAGTCACTGATTATTAGCTAATTGGTTTACATTTAGTAATAAATATTGATTAGTATAAATATACCATAAGTTCCCTCTGCGACTTAGTGGTTTATTTATGTATTTTTACCCCTGGTGTCCCAAGAGATGGATCCCCCTGTTTACAGAGGGCAGCCTCGAGATAGCGAAAGATGGACCTGTAGTTCCAAGTTCTAGACCGCCTGTGGCTTAACCCCGCCTCCTCGCTCTGCGTGGTTCAGGTTCTACAAGGACCTCCCACCCTCCAAGAATTCAAGTTTTGAAATAATACCAGATTGTGCTAGAACTCCCAAATCTTAACCATTTAGAACCCGACAGCGTTAAAACAAAACAAAACACAAAACTATAAGCCTGTAGAGAGGCTTATAAACCTGCAGAGAGGGTGTCTCTTAAAGATTTCATACCTTTGTCTCTGCATCTGGGCACCTGTGACTATTAAATCGCAGCATAACAATGATATTGAATTGCTTTGTCACAGATGACAAAAATGCTCAAACGTGAAATAAAATGCAGTCAGATTTTTGTTGTTCATGTATAGCACGAACGCATTCTCTTTTTAAAACCCAAACGGGAGCAATAAGCGTTTGGAGGGAAATGGCAGTGGCAGAGTGTGGCTGGGAGCCGCTATCTCGGCAAGCCCGGGCGTCTTGAGCACAGGGCCCGGCTGGCCCGCGCAGCGCCCCCTCCTCCCGTGCGCCGCGCGCATTGTTGTCCTGTAGCGATTGGTTGCGGGTCCAGAAACAGCCGTGCAGAGCCGTGCAGTGCGCAGCGGCTGAGGACCAGAACGAAGCCCAGCCGGCTGGCAGAGGCTTACACCCGGGAGCGGCACGAGAGAGGAAGAGCCGGAAGCCCCTAGCGTGCGGTTTGCGAGGGGCGAGGAGCAGGCACTCGGTGTTGGAGGCGTTGGTCGCGGAGCTCGCGCTGGCGCCCCCGCCCTCTGGGTCTGGCTGACTTCGGGGTTGGCGCAGGTGGGCCAGGCCGAGCACCAGGCTGAGCACCGCGCTTCTCCCCGTTCCCACGAAGGCTCGCTCTCCGGGCAAGGGGGCGGGACCGTTCTCGAAAAATGTAAATAGCTAAGCGAAGTCTCCACGCCGTGGCACCAGCCAAGGTCCCAGCGCCGCCACAGGGTGTTTTACATGAAAATGAGAAGCCTGAAGGGATCCGGGCTGGACTCCCGGCAGTTAGGTGATTAGCATTAGATTGGGCGGCTGTCGGTTTCCTGCCCTTGGATAGCACCCAGCCCCGGCGTCCCGAGGAGCCCGGGCTCCCGTCGCCGCCCGGGCCCGCGAGTAGCTACGTGCCCGCGGAGGGCCCGGCGTGTCGGCGCGCACGCCCACCCACCCACTCGTCCGCACCCACGCACGCCTCCCGGAGCCCGGGAGCGAGCAGAGAGTGACGCGGCGCCGCAGTCGCCAGGACGCCTCGGCTCTTCCTGGATTCCGCAGGAGCCCACCCTGCCGCAGCCGCGGTCTGCAGAGTCTGCCGCGGTCCCCGCGCCCTCGTCCCCCGCCGGAGCCTGTGTAATGAAGACGGCCTCCCGGAGCCTGCAGGGGGGGCAGCGCCAGCTTGCGCCGGGGACTGCGGGGCGCGCGGCCGGAAGGCCCGAGAGAGCGCGACTCGGACGCTGTCATCCCCGCGCCTCGCTCTGAGCCGCCCGGTGCGCTGGGGCTGCTGCCGCCCCTCGAGCTTCCCGGGCGCCTGATCCAGGGTCAGCCCCGGAGGCCTCGGCTTCCTCATTTGTTTGGGTCTTTTGTGCCGCGGCTCACAGTTGGCTAAGCACTCCTGCGCTGAATCGGGCCATTGTCTGCGCTCCCATTGCCTTCACGCTGCAAGTCTCGGCGCCCCCGCCCGCCCGCCCCCTCCCCGCCTCCTTCGGCCCGGGAGCCTCGTAACGTGCCTTTCCCCCCCAGGAATCTGGAAGCTATAAGCCGAGCGGATTGCAAATGAAGTGTAATGCATTGTGGGACGTGTGTAAAATCGGAGCCTTCGCCGTGGGGGTGTGGGGGGGCGTGGGGAGGGCCGGACCCGCCGCTGGCGGTGTAGACGCCGACGAGGAGGGGCTGGGAAAATGTGCGCAGAGTCCGCCAGGGTCGTGCCCGCCGTAGACGGATGAAGCAGCGCGCTGCGCCCCGGCGCTGAGGCCCCAGGATCGGGGCAGCAGGTCGCCCTCCCCACCATGAAGAAGACCCGGAGCACAACCTTGCGGCGAGCTTGGCCTAGCTCGGATTTCTCGGACCGGGCCTCGGACCGCATGAGGTCCCGCAGCGAGAAGGACTACCGCCTGCACAAGCGCTTCCCCGCGGCCTTCGCGCCCCAGGCTTCGCGGGGCTACATGACATCAGGTTGGTAACCGCGTTTCGGCCCGGGCCGCGTGCGCCTCGGCCGGGGAGCTTGGAGCCGAAGACTTGCGGTGATGGATGCGATAAGTTATGGGGAAAGAGGGAAAAATTAGCTCACATCCACCATTTTGTACCTCTGCAAGATCCACAGCAGGCCCTCTCAATATGGGGTTTGAGTGCTATTAGTTAGGTAAAATCAGGGAGGGGGGGACGAGCCGGGGGTTTGGGCTGCAGGGAGATAAATGACTGCAAGCTTGGGCGCTGCAGCCTCCTTGAGCTTTGTGCAGGAGCCTGCGTCCAGCGCTGCCCGCAACGCCAGGCTCACTTGCTCTTGCCTTATGGCCAGTTACCTTAGTGGCTATTTAAGCGGCCCCCCTTTCTTCTAAGGGAACAGGTTCCATGAACCATTCTGGATGGTTCCACTGTATGTGTACATCTCAGGCTCCTCTGATTTGCACGCAGGGAACCCTGTTGGAGCTCATTGAATGCGTTCCATGGGGTAATGGTGTGTATGTGGGTTGAACACTCACATGATTCTGCGTGGATTTAACATATGTTGCTTTGAATTAGGCTGCATGGAAAGAATGGAGGCTGAGTCGTGTGTTTGCATGTCAGACAGGAAGGACAAACAAAACGGTAAAGGGAAGCGCAGGCTGCAAAATAGGTTGTATCTTACATGCAATGTCCTTAAAAGCCTTTCTGAATGAGTCCCGTTTTCTCTTTGAAAATAGAATGAGACGGCTTTGATTTGTGATTTGAGGACCTGGGGATAATATACTTGGGCGGCTGGAAACCTTTAGGTGGTTTCTCCTTGTTAATCACTGATAAGTAATGATGTGGAAGATAGCCATTTTTATTTATTTTTTTCTTTCTGAATAGAATTAGTTTGCTTCTAAATACAGTGTAATGGAAGAACCGAGGGTTTATTTTAAACCACATGCTATACCAAATCTTTCTAAGCCCTGCCTTAGCTGGAAACATTGTTTTAAGCTTGTGGTTGGTACTCATGGTCTAGCTTTACTATCTTTCAACTAAAACAGCAAGTCCTTTTTAACTGAGGTCAGTATCTCATGCTTTAAAAATGTCTTGTGACCACATTTCCATTCATACAAAATCTAAATAAAATAGCTATCATTTTATTGCAAAATGAGGCAGCACAAGGATGTTGTACTATTTTGGCAATAAGACTCCTGATTTTCTCTGTCATGAAAAGTCAAATCTATAAAGGAAGTGACAACTACAATTTCTACTTAAGTTATTTAAATCACTGATGTGGTTGCTGTATTCTTCAGCCTCCTGAGTGTTCAGATGATCCTGGGTTACATGTACTAGGGTTTGAATGTCTTCATTTCACACTTAGCAGGCCCCTCTTTTCTACCTTCCTAAGGAGCCAGTACTGACAGTAATGTGAAGCTCTAATAGTGCATGTGGCCATCCTATCTTCAACAAACCTACAAGACTAATAATTTCAGGCACATTGCCATGGAGACTTTTTTTTGGGTCTGTCTCAGCCCTGCTTTGTTATGATCACATTTTCTGTCTTTGCAAAAGAACTTCTTTGCTACAGCCAATACTGCAAGACATAAAGAAGAAACTTGTAGTTTTATGTGATTCTCTTATTTCATCTCTTGACCTGCAGGTGGTAAGATGGTTTTGTAGTAATAATAAAGGATAACCGGTCTCAGGTGGGTGATTTCCTGTCCAGACTCAATATTATGTTACTGCTGAGCATAGAAGACCACAAGAAGAGCTGTGTCATTCATTCAGCATTTTGTGGAGTGCCTTGCTAGACTCTCAGGGGGCTGTAGGGTTGGATACAATATAGTTTCTGCAAAGGGAGAGAGGGTTATTATTTATTCTAATTTTAAATGTTAGCTAATACATGGGACAGAAAGTGGGTTTTAGTGCTACATTGAAAGAAAATAATGAATATTAAGACACCTACACTGAATGTTCAGAGTGGGTGGAGTCTTCTCGTATGCAACTTTTTTGAGGGGATAAGTGGGAGTGGGTACCTATTTCCTTTCCAAATATGGCTTCTTTGAACATGACCATTGATAGAAATAGATTCTATTTTGCAACACTCTGAACTCATTTATAAGAAGTTCTCTGCTCCTTAGGAAAGGTGAAGAAAATCCACTTATATCCAGTTTGTTGTGGATATAGAGATTTTGTCACATAAAATGAAATAGAAAATGAAATAGCTTAGAAACACCAGCTGAACAAGGTAAAACAGCTTTTCACTTTTTTTTTTTCTTTCCTGTTTGTTCAGCCATTTGGCTTAACAACTGTGGGTATTATCATGCTTTATTTTTAGTAAACAGTCTTTTATTGTGGGTAAACTACTTGGGTTCAAAGGACAAGGTAAGCCTTCTCAAAGGTATTAAATAACTTAAGATAACTTCAGCAAATATTCCTGAAAATAAAGGGAAGTAATTTTTACTTCAAATTTGGGCAATGTGAGATCCTGGGAAATTCTTAAAAATAGATACTTAGAGCAGTCCTTTTGGTCCAGCATCCCTATCGAACACACACTGCACACAATTGTAAGGTTCTGTGATAGTTTTCTAATGAGACAGCACCATTTCTAACTACAAATAAGTAATTATCAGTGTAAAATGTGATTTATAGAGTAGGCTTGACATTTGGCCTTGACTTTTTGTATCCCTTTGAGATAAACTACGCTTAAGATCAAGAGGTTAGATCAGGCGCACATGAAGCTGACAAAGTCTGGAAAGAGACAGTTAGATGGAAAACTGTGAAACCTGTTGTCATGAAAACTGTGCTGTCTATGGTGCTTTTAATCTCCCAGTCCATGCTAACACATCCAAAGTGATCCTAAGAACTCACAAGCCTCCCAGCAACCAGGGAAGTTCACAGGCCAAGAAATGAGTTCTTGGTTCCTCTTGCATCTTACTTTCTCACTGGTAGTTTCTGGACATTGCTTGAAGCTAGAAATTGTGGTATTAACTAGAGATAAAAGTAACACTCCCCACGAAAGAGAAATCTGTATAATGTGCTACACTTGATATATGCAAACATGCTCATATGCTACAATGAAGTTACTTTCAAGGCCTCAAAGCTTTTGTGGGAGAAGCTCTTTGAGTCTTTTCTGTTATAGCTGTGTGAACTATGACTTCTTTATCCGCATGATGCCGATAATTTTTAATTTCTTTTCACTCTATCCTCTAAGCAGCACTGGGGATGAGTGCCTCTTTACATTCTAATTATAATTCCACCAGAGTTTTGGGGACATTCTTATTGATCTAGATGACAAAATAATCTTTCCACTTCCTTGTCCTAAAGAGAATGTTCACAAAAAAGCTTTACTTATCAATGAGAAAGTAGAGTCATAGAGCTTTTTATTTTGATACTCGATCCATCTATCTGTCTATCTGTCTGTCAATCTATCTATCTGTCTGTCTGTCTATTATGTACTTTGTTCATAGTCTCACTACACAACTCGGACTTGTAGTGATCCTCCTGTTTTCAGCCTCTGGAGCTCTGGAACCAGTTGGTTCATTTATTAGTTTTCATTTTATAGAAACTAATTCTGGAGCACATTTGACTGTGTGTTCCAGTTCCTCATGTTCTGTTATTTTAAGAGACCAGAGAGTTTTCTGGGAGTGGAGATGGACACTCGAGATTCTAATTTGGGTCTGTCACAAACCAGCTGTGTCCCTGGCGAGTAACATGACCTCCCTCCATCTGTAATGAGTCCTGTGGTCCTGTGCTTCCAGTGCAGAATGGGGCTGTGCTGTGGCTCTGTAATGGTAGGAGCGAGACCTCGGGACACGAGTGAGTAAGTTGTTGGGAAGACCCTTTGCCCTTTGCTACTTAATGGATTCACGTGCTTCTCTATGGAGGAATCCTGCTCGGGTTGCAGTGGAATCCTCTTTCCTTACCTTCAAGCCCTGTATTACTCATGGACACTTTGGAGACTGCCCTAGTGACCAGAGCAATGGAGGGAAGATGGTGGATGAATACCTAGCAGATTATTGTCATATGCAAATTTTAATAAACAGCATCCTGCCACCTTTCCTGCTCTTTGCAGAGATCCATTTTCAGACTACCTGCTCCAACTGTGTTTTAATTTGAAGCTACCCATGTTGACTGCTTTCATCAGGCAGGTGTAAGTAAGGAATATTATACTCAGTGGTGAATGACTTTATTCTTTATTTCCCAAAAGAACATAAATGTGCTTACAAAAGATCACCTCTCTTAGTATTTCAATATCTTTTACACTCTTGTGAATGTTTTTGTTTGAAAACAAGAACATGAATATATTGTGTAAAATGTTAGAAGTTTTACCCTTCCAGATCAACTTGGGCCTTAATAAATTCTCTATGCCTGAGAGATTTTTGCCAAAGAACATACAATTCAGACAACAGTATGTTCTTTGGTACAAGATTGTTTATGCTGAATTCCAGAGAGCAGAATCTGGTTAGATCCGTGCTAGTGGGCTAATATACTAACTTCTGAGTTTAGGACGAGCGTGTGTAACCCAATCATAGAGATGATGAGAAGCCTATAATCTAGAAGTAGAGGTTCTTGTAGTTTGTGAGAGTGCATAGACTATAGTGAGCTCTAAATTGACTTACACTGTAGAAGTACAAGAATGAAATAGCATGGGTAATTTTTAAAGTAGGTAATAAACTTTTCCTTAAGTAATAAATTCCTAGACTATTTTTGACATTGGAATGTACAACCAGTTGGCTAGAAAATGCTACTGATTTCTACCACCTAAATATTTCCAAAATTTGTTCCTTCCTTTATATGCCTGCTGTTTAAATCTTCTGTTGTGTTACATTTTCTTTCAATCTGACTTCTTCTCCAGCCTAATCCATCCTCTGTGTGTCCCCATGGAGCTTTTGCTACTTTTAACCCTAAAATAAAATGAGTCATGTTGCTTCCATTTCCATGTCTCTTGTGCATAAGAATGGAGTATAGACTATGAAGTCTTCATGGTATGTGACATTCTCTGCTGTACCCCCTTCTTCTGA